TGTGGGGGCTGGGGAGATGGCTCAGTAGAATAAGTACTTGCCTGGCAATCACAAGAGCCTGAGTTCAATCCCTGGTTCTGAAAAAAAAAAAAAAAAAAAGACTGGGTGTGGTGGCGCATACCTGTAATCCCAGCTCTTGGGAGGCTATAAACAGGCAGATCACCACAAGTCCAACCTAGTATTGAGACTCTGAACACCCTGTAGACCCTTCCCTAAAATAAAAAATAAAAAAAAATGTAAAAAAAAGGTTGATTGGGTTCTCACATCAGGACATTATCCACATACTAGGTACATTTTCTACAATCTGACTTTATCTTCTAGCTAGACTCAGTGTTTCAGCCTCTTCCATTGTGACCTTTAGACTCCATGCCCAGTCTCTCCTCTTAGCAGCCAGTGCTGACACCTGTCTCTCTGGAGGACACGTTTCCCTGGAAGCCCTCTTTATAAAGCTTTGTCTGTTGGTCTGGTTCACCATACCACAGTGTTTGGAGATGGAAGTGCTGCTCCCCAGTCTGTTCCTTAACAGTTATTATCTTACATATAATACCTGCTATCTTTCCTGTTGCTAGGGTCTTTGAATTCTGGTAATTCACCAAAGGCACTGATAACTGCAGCATCTGGGTCACAATTTCCTTTTTATACTTGCTTTTCTAGACTCCTTTTTTACTTCAAAATTCTTTCAAGTAGGTAGGCATGATGAGATATGCCTGTAGACCCAGGTACTTGAGATGCTGAAATAGGAGGATTGTTTTAGGCCAGGAGTTCCAGACCAGCCTGGACACTATAGCAAGACTCCATCTTAGCCAGGTGTGGTGGTGCATGCCTGTAATCCCAGTACTTAGGAGTCTGGGGCAGGAGGATCGTTGCAAGTTCAAGACCAGCCTGGGCTACAAACTTAGCTCAAGGCCAGCCTGAACTACAAAGCAAGACCTTGTCTCAAAAAAGACTCCATCTTGGGGCCAGGGAGATGGCTCAGTAGAATAAGTGCTTGCTTGGCAAACACATGGGCCTGAGTTCAATCCCTGGTTCCACCAAAAACAAAAACCTCCGTCTTAAAATAAAACAAAATAAAATCTCTCAAAGCAGTCCATGTAATTGTACCTCTCAGCTCCCTAGTCTCACCTCCAAGATCTTCAGCCCACCCTCATGCCCCTCCCTGGCCTTTGTCATTTCCAAAAATAACCTCTCATGATCATCCCTTGGAGTTCCATTTATTTTATTTTATTTTTTTTAAACATTTATTTATTTATTTATTGTGTGTGGCCAGCTCAGCCCACCAGGGGGCGGGGCTGGCTGGCATGTGGTGCCGGGGGATTGAACCATGGTCCCTGTGCTTTCCCAAGCTTGTTCCAAGTAGGTGCTTTAGACCACTGAGCCATCTCACCAGCTCCCTGGAGTTCCATTTAATTCCTGTATGTATTCCCACTTCACTCCACAGGGCCCTTGGATCAGCTTCAGTATTCACTAGCCCATCCTGCTTGTGTCTACTACCCTTCTGAGCCAGTTCACACCCAGGATCAAACATAATAATTCTCCCTCTACTTTATCGGAACTCCAACACTGAAACATTCCAGCCGTCCAACCGCTTGGGTCCTTGCACCCCATGGTGCAAAGATGCTGGGAGTACAGAGTTGCAGGGAACACTCCACAGTGATGCTTACTGGTATCACTGAGGCAGTACCTCCTACCTGGGAAGGCTTTTGCTCCTTCCCTGTCCAAAACATTAAACAGTGTCTTGAGACTTCTCGGAATGTTGCATGGTGTAGGGTCGGGCATGTTCTACTCACATCTAATTCATAGATGTCAGGCAGCTGCTAAATATTCCATGATGCCCAGTACAACCAAAAATGACCTGACTGCAAATGTCAACAGCATCACCATTCAAAAATTTTGCTTTAGTTCAATCTCTGTAATTCTCAAAAGGGCAGGTGACACAAGGCCTTTGCATTTGCTGTTATTGCCGCCCATAACACCTTCCTAGAGGCTGGCTCATCACTTGTCACTTCCTCGAAAGTGGCCCAGAATTTATTTGAGATTGGAGTCAGACTCATCACAGTACTGTTTCATTTATGTCTTTACTGCCTTTCTCTTCCTTCTAGAAATAAGTTACTCAAGCACAGCATCATTTACCTGTTTTGTTCACTACTGTAAGGTTATGTACAGTCAAGTACTATATGGGGCTTGGCACATAACGGACATTCAGAAAATTTGTGGAACAGTGGATGATGAAAATATTATTTACAATTAATTTAGCACTCATCAAATACTCACTGGTGATAAAAATCTAGACACAAGCTGAGTTGTAGTGGTGTTGATCTGCCATCTTAGCAGATTACAAGTTCACGGTCAGCCTGGGAAACTTAGAGACTACATAAGACTCTGTCTGAAAAAGAAAAAAGAAAGAAAGAAAGAATCAGAAAAAAAAATACAGAGTTCTGAGGACACTGAGTGGTGATCTGATTCATTCTGGGGTGGGGCAGCCAGGCCAGGTTTCCTGGCAGTGAAACTGATAGCTAAAGGAAGAGTCAGTTAGCTAGAGGAAGGTGGTTGGGATGGTGGAGAAGGGCATGCAGGTTTAGAGAACAGAACATAGTGTTCAAAGGTGGGTATGAAATATGTGTCAGGAACACAGAGAAGGCCAGTGTGCCTGAGGCAGCGTTTGGCAAAGGTGGTATGGTATCTACCAGAAAGGAGCACAGAGCTCTGTAATCCCAGCCCACAGGAGCGCCGTCATAAATTTCAGGCCAGGCTGGGCTACATAAGCAAGTTCAAGGTCAGCCTGTACTACACAGGGAGATCCTGTCTCAAAAAAACACAAACAGGATCAGCCAGATAGCTCAGCCGATTAAAGCACCTGCTTAGGCAGACACAGAGAGTGGGGTTTGATCCCCAGCATGCTGAAACTGGGTGCGGTGGTGCGCCCCTGTAATCCCAGCTCTTGAGAGGCTGAAAATGGGGATCATTAAGAATCTGATCTGTGTAGTAAGACCCTGTACTAAATACAAACAAACAAAATGATATGTGGACTTTAGAGCTACTAGTCACTCTTAAAAAAAAAAAAAAAAAGCAGCTCACCATTAATCAATAAACATGAATAACAAAGTGTTTGTGGAGGTCTGCATTTTATACAAAAGCAGATTAGTTTAACATGAAGAGCCCCTTTATGCTTATTGACTCTATGGAAGAAAGATTAAGAAGAAATGTTTGAGAGAGAAGCACATAGATGGGAAATATGAGGGAACTCAGGTAAAACATGGGAAGTGGAAAACTGAATGAGGCCAAAGTGAAACCTCCCCAGGTGTGGGGAGGCTGGAGAGGAAGACTGGGAGGAAATGGTGAGAAATAGAGTTGGGGGAGGTGACAGAAAGATTAAAAAGATAGATTAACAGTGTTGTCAGCCCCTAAGGGGATGGAGGTAGAAGACCACGGAAGACTAAAAGGGAACAAAGTAGAAAGCTTCAAAATGGAAAGGGCAGGGCCGGGGAGATGGTTCAGATGAATAAGCACTTCCCTGGCAAGCACAAGGACCTGAGTTCAATCCCTGGTTCTGCAAAAAAAAAAAAAAAAAAAAAGATCTAAAAAAAAGGGGCCGGGGAGATGGCTCAGTAGGATAAGCGCTTGACTGACAAACGCAAGAATCTGAGTTCAATCCCCAGTTCCGCAAAATAAATAAATAAATAAATAAATAAATAAATAAATAAAAATGGAAAGGGCAGGCAGTGGGAGATGATCAAAAGGAGGAAAGAACAACTCTTGGAAGAGTTGTTGGACAGAATGATGGGCTAAAGCTTGAGAGAGGTGAGAGAGTCAAGTGGATGTCTTAAGGTGGAATGGAGATCCCCCCTGGAGGGCCAGACCTTAGGGAGGACAGCAGGATTGGAGGATGGAAGAGTGTGCATAGAGGCCCAGCCCAGGCTCCACAAGTGTGTAGCTGAGGGTGAGGTACTCGCCCACTCCTGCTGGCTCTCCTCAGAGGTGCCTTTCTTTACTAGAAGGATCCTTCACATTGAAGGGGCCAGTGAGAGGCCCAGACACTAAGTTGTATTAGAGGTTGGAATGGGGGCAGCAGGACGGTGGAATCCTTGGAGAACAATGCCCAGAAGCCTTATCGGGGCCTGTAACAGGGCAGAGAGGCTGTGAAAGCGAAGGGTGCTGGGGAGGCATCCCTGGGAGTGGAAACTCCAAGCCCCGGCTGCTTCAGAGAATTCACCGGGATTGGGCCAAGGGCCTTGAAGGTGGGGTCGGCTAGGTAGGAAAAGAAGAGCAGAGGGTGGAGGCTAAAGTAGGGCTGGACAAAGAGCACTTGGGGCGGAAACTGGCCGCGGGGGATGGGGGAGTGCCACAGCTCGGGCTCCGGAGCGTCCCAGGCGCACACACGGGGAAGAAGGGAAAGGGTAGCTTGCTGTCAGAGGGAAGTCCAGTTGCTGAGGGTTGACTAGGCTAAAGAGTCCCTATAAGCCTTGGCTTCCTCTCCAGCTGCGGTGAAAGCCTGGCAAGGGAAGGGGGAGTGACCCTGTTGCTCAGGTTTCTTCCTCTTCACCTGGGCAAGGAGGAGTGGGGGCCAGGACTTCCGGTTCAGGTGGGTGTCCCTTCAATGACGTCAGGTCATCTTCGGCTGCCTCTCCGGTCCCACCCTCCCTCCCGCGTTCCCGGTGTCCCTGCGGCGCGTCCCCGACACCCTACATATATACGCAGGTGCGCCGCACCTGTCCGCCCGCACCTGGCGGCTCACTGCCCAGCAGCTTCTTCCGTGCCCTGCCACAGCCTCTTGCCGACAGGCCAGGACACCTCTGAGGACTGTGCCCAAACAGGGTAGCTGGGAGCGCCGGAGAATCGCTTGGCCTTCAGGGACTGCTTTGTCTGGAACCAGTCCTTCGGGCGCAGCCTGTCCTTCTGCTGTGAAACCGTCGCTCCACCGAAGGGGTCGATTTTGTGTTTACTTCGAGTGACAAGATTTGCAGTAGTCACTCAGTCAAAAACTTTTTTGTCCCTTTGAAGAACATAAAACTTCATCTCAACTTTTGTCTTTTGTGGGGCTGCCCCCCCATATTTTGTTTTACTCTAGGGTCGCCTGCTCGGCGTCCCGTCTTTTCTGAGGGCGGAAATGGCCAATTCGGGCCTGCAGCTGCTGGGCTTTTCTCTGGCGGTGCTGGGCTGGGTGGGCCTGGTGGCCAGCACTGCCATCCCGCAGTGGCAGATGAGCTCGTACGCGGGCGACAACATCATCACGGCTCAGGCTATGTACAAGGGGCTGTGGATGGAGTGCGTCACCCAGAGCACCGGGTTGATCAACTGCAAAATGTACGATTCGGTGCTCTCCCTTCCCGGTAAGGCGGCTGGGTCGACGGGGCGGACGCGCCAAGGGCCAAAGTGGCGGACTAGGGTGTGGCAGAGGCCCCTTGGCCGGGCGCCCTGGGTTGCCAAGGAGCAGGAGGAAGTAGAGGCGGTTCGGAGGGCAGTGGGGCCGGGCGGGAGCTCAGCGGGGTCAGGGGGCTGCACGTGGGCCCCGACGGAGGCTGCCTGCCACACCTCTTCCACGGCTAGGGTCGTCTCCCCCACTGCCTTGAGCAAAAGGGGGCACCAGGCACCGCTGGGCCGAGGGCAGAGGTGCCGTAGGGTTGCCAAAATGGGCCACCGCCTGCGGCCTTTAATCTTATCTATTGATAAGTTGAAGCCGCAAACCCTGTGGCCTGGCTAGCGGGCCAGGCTGGGCCACTCGCTGCAATGTGTGGCCTGGAGAGGCTATGGCGCCCACCTGCACCTTTTTTGCTACCCGCATTCACCCTTCCCCCTACCAGGAGCAGTTTCATCGAAACCCTGGCGCCCCGGGCGGGTTCTTGAGAGGGCGGGGCCGGAGCGGGAAGGCCGCCTAGGCGCCGGAGGCAGGAACCTGTTGCTCCCAGCAGACCTAGGACCCAGCACAAGCCCCAGGCCCAGGGGTTGGGGGGCGCCTGGAGTCACCTGAGAGCCACCTGCACTTCCATTAGTGACGCCAATGTTTCTCCTTCGCAGCGACAATACAAGCCACTCGAGCCTTAATGGTGGTGTCCCTAGTCCTGGGCTTCCTAGCCATGCTAGCATCCACCGTGGGGATGAAGTGCACTCGCTGTGGTGGAGATGACAAAGTGAAGAAGGCCCGAATAGCCATGACTGGAGGCATCATTTTCATTGTGGGAGGTGAGTGACACCAGAGCTGTTTCTATCCAGGAGGTGGGTAAAGTGTTAGTACTCACAGTAACAGTATGGGAATCCTTATTCCTCACCAGGTCTCGCCTCCTTGGTAGCATGCGCCTGGTGTACTCATCAGATTGTCACAGACTTTTATAACGCTTACACTCCTGTGAATGCTAAGTAAGTCTGGGAGACAAGTGATCTAAAGTCCTGGGGTGGGGAGGATGATTAAGGCTGGACAGGACTCTGAATCCTGATCCCTTTTCTCCACAGGTACGAGTTTGGTTCCGCCATCTTTATTGGCTGGGCAGGGTCTGCTCTGACCATCCTGGGGGGCGCACTGCTCTCTTGCTCCTGTCCTGTGCGAGAGAGCAAAGCTTCCTACCGTGCTCCCCAGTCCTATCCCAAGTCTGCTTCTGCGAAAGAGTATGTGTGAACCGGTGCCCATACTCTGGCCTGACAGGCTGCGGGTGTGCCCAGCTTGCCTCTAGAATATGGGGGAGAGGGCTCACTCTTGGGCAGGGAGTGGGACAGAGGCCTTCTGGTCAGTCCACCCCTGCACACCATGTATAGCTCTGAAGGGGTAGGGTGCGGGGGGGGGGGACGGACAAAAAGGGCATGCTTTTTGTACAGAAATAAAAAACAAGTTTTGGAAAAGAGGCTTTTTCTTTGTCTTCTGGATTTGTTTTCCTGCCCAAATCTTAAAGGGACGTGGAACCTAAAGTGCATCTACTTCAATTATAAAAATCTAAACCAAACCCCCACCAGCTTGAAGGCACCAGTGTTGTGCCAGGCTGTTCCAGCCCATTTTATTAGGCCTGATACTTATACCCTAGACTCAAAAGAATCAGGTAGTTGCCCCCACCTCATTCTTGTTTAGTTACCAGTTTGTCTTAAAATTTTTAAAAATGTTTATTTAGTACAGGGTCTTGCTATGCAGTTGACTTGCAAGGATCCTCCTGTCTCAGCCTCCCCAGCACTGGGACTACAGGTGTGTGCCACCATGTTCTGGGGCCAGTATGGCATGCAGTTCTGGTGATAAATCCTGGGTCCTTGTGTTTGCCAGGCAGGCACTTAAGACCATGGAGCTATCTCCCTGGCCCCAAAGTTTGTTTTAATAATAAAAATTATTAAGAAAGGGCTACTGTTCTCTTGCCTTATTTTAGGCCCTCATTCTACTTTCTGCAGTGATCAGCAGCTATTCCCTGAATGGCAGGGAGTGGGTGGGGGACAGGGTAAGGCCAATGAAAGCAGGATGATGGTTCTGGGTGCCACTCCCCCCAAATGCAGTCCAGTTAGATTTGACTCAGATATCCAAGTCATCATCTGGGTCTTCAGGGTCCAGGTCGTCATAAGCATCTGGCTCATACAAGATGCGGCTGGAAGCCTGGCCTGGCTCAGAGCGCAACAGAGCTTGTTGTCTGAGGAGGGAAGAATTGGTGCTGTGAGGGTGGGTAACAAATCAAGTCTAGATAGCCCCTTCCAGGTGACTGTCACTCAGCCAAACTCCTAAACCTGTCAATTTCATGGTCAAAGCCCATCTCTCACCGCCCATTATTTGTCAGGGTTGATGCACCACCACCCAGGGGCAGGTGATCAGATACAGCTCTAACAACATTCTGAAGTCCTTAGTAGCTTGAGGACAAGGATTCTGCTGCAGGGTTGCCTCACCTACCCACACACCGAGCAGAGCTACAGCTTTGGCCACACCCATATAACTTCCGGTCCTAGCACTGTTTCCTGAAGAAAGGCTACCTCCCCAGGTGGTGGTCTGGCACAGCACAGGCTCAAATTACTCCGGGAACAACCATGCAGCTGGAACCCACAGTCTAGTGAATATAGATGACAGAAAGGCCCTCTGCCTTTGTGGTAGGTATGGGTAGGAAGGGAGCCATTCTCTGGACTTATCTCTGGAGGTGGACTTCAGCCCCTATAAAGTCTGAAAGATTAATCAATAACCTGTCATAACCCCACCTCTTTGTGGCCCAGACACTGGTCTCTACTCATGGATTCAGGATACTAAATTCCAATCTTACTTTTCAGAGCTAAACTGGAAAGGCAGAGTCAGGCTATCTCTTGCTTCTCTTTCTTTCTCAGACAAGCGAAGATTGAAGGTCAAATGAGCTGTGGGGTCCACCTGTAGGTACAAAGAATGCTGCTATTGGACCCCATCCGTGGAGTCTCTGACCCTGCCCCCAGCCTCTGCAGTTTTTATTCTCCTTTTGTCAGATCCCAAGTTCCCTTGTTCTGGCCCTGCCATTAGATACCATGAAAGTGTGAGGATCTGGGTGGGGCTGGGACTGTAGGGGAGATCCTTGGAGATCCAGGCTGAAGTCAGGAAGGATGGAAAACTGCTGAGTCTGGGGAGAAGAAAGAAGAATTAAAAAATATTTTCTTGGGGCTGGTGAGATGGCTCAGTGGTCTAAAGCACCTACTTAGAACAAGCTTAACAAAGCACAGGGGCCATGGTTCAATCCCCCAGCACCACATGGAGGCCAGCCCTGCCCCCTGGTGGGCTGATCTGCCCCCCCCACAAATAAAATAAAATAAAAAAAACTTTAAAAAAAATATATTTTCTCATCTCTGTGTGTGTGTTCTGAGACAGGGCTTGCTCTGTAGTTCAGGCTGGCCATGAACTCACAGCAATCTCTTTGCCCCTGCCTCCACAGTGCTGAGATTATAGGCATGCACAACCACACCCAGCCATATTTTCTCAACTTAATGAATAAACTAGAGAATTCAGAATCTCATATCCTCAATTTCTAGTCATCTAAATTGGCTGCTTACAGCATATGCCCTCATTTTTTCTTTTTTTTTGGTACCAGGAGTCAAACATAGGACTTCCTGCCTTCCAGGCAGGTTCTGTGCTGTTGAATTATATTCTTGGGTATGCCCTCAAATTCTAACACCTCTTCTAAGTCTTTCCTTGTGGACCTGTTTCTTTCCTCTAATAACCACCAGTCTTTAAGAAAAATTTCAACTTTCTGGAAGACACAGTATCTTTCAGTGGTTATATTCACAGCTTTTCATCAACAATCCTGAGTTCTGATCCTGGCTATATCACTTTGTAACTTTAGGTAAGTGACTTAAACTTACCTGGGCTTGTTTATAGGTCTGTAAAATGAGATAAATAACAGAAAACACAAGGAAATGGGCCAGAGCCATAGTTTAGTGGCACAGAACATGCACAATGCCTTGTATTCATGGCACCATAAAAATAAAAGCCACATCATTCATATATA